ACTTTCTAGTACAACTTTAGTACAAGCGCCAAGCAGCATACATCCACCCACACACTGATACACACTGACGAACAAGCGCATACACACAAACACACACCTCACGTACACACAGAGACCCTCACGCCTTATATCTGTCTCGCCTGTCTCTTCCCCACGCTCACTCTTCCGCAGTTCGCACTTTACCCCTGCAGCCTCAATCTTTCGAAGTTGTTCACATGTGGGGTTATCCGGTCCTATAATTGGTATTCAAACATGGACTGTATCGAAACTTGAATGTGTGCTAAATCTACCTTTCTTTTTGGTGAATCCTCGGCACTCGAGATAGGTTTATAGGGTCCACAACCCCGATGGTCAACTCGTGTGATATCGTGTGAATGTGTATAAAAAAACTGGCCTCACCAGAGTTGTGCTACGGCGGAGCCGTGCTACGGCGGTGGCCGCGCAGTGCGCGGACGTCCGCCACCAGGGCCGTCTGCCGCGCCCGAGCAAGCTGCCGTTGGAGCTGGGCAAGTCTCTTGTTTGCGCGCTGCGCCGCGCCGCGCGCGGCCGCGCGCGGGACACACGAGTTGCAACGCTGGCGTGCGGCGCGCCGCTTTGACCACGCGCTGAAGTCCATGCAACGCACGCCTTCCGCTCCGTGCACAGCGCCAGGTACCCTGGACTTTTATTACGGCGCACGCCTTGCAGACACGTCGGTCTGCGTGTCGTGCCTTCCACGCGGCCACCCCAAAGGCATCTTCCGCCTTTGCCACGCCGCACCTGAAACACGGCTTCTGCGTGGCCCTCTCACCTTTCACACTGCTAGCACACCATGAGGGCCCAAGTGTGTCTCTTGCACAACGTAGATACAGGCACCGCCGTAAGGTGTTGTTTGTTGGGTCACTTGTTGTATGTAGAAGAACCTGTGAACATTGCATGGCCTAATGCTTGCATGGCAGCAGCCTGACTAGGTCATGACTGTGAAAAAGGGACTATACGAGATTACACAGTAAACTTGTAAAAGGAACAACTGCGCACACAACTTTTTGTTTGCGCTCAAATTTTTTGATGCGCGTTGAAAGTGGCCTCTTTGAAACGGTTTTTGCAAGCACTTGTCGATGTTCAACCTCACGCTTGCCGCCTCGCACGCTTGCATGCCACATTTTGGTTCACGAGCCGTCGGGGGCCTCCGCGGGGCTTTTGGAGGCTCTCGCTGCGCGTGTGTTCTGTCGACTTCTTTCGCTCGCGTTCATATTCACTCTATGCAGAGGCACTGTCCGTGCTTCCTGGCAGCTCTTTTACTTTTTCCGCAGGGTTGCCAGCGTTTGTTTTGTTCGCCCACCTTCAAGCTGCAAGCCATGGCTCTGGTTGAGCGCAACGGCGAGGCTCCCGGGGCAGAAGCCCCTAAACAGTCCAAGTGGCGCTCCTGCCGTCCCTGGACTACTTTATTTTTTTTGTGTCTTGTTTTCGCGGTGAGCTGGTTGCCCAATAGTTTGTCAAAGAAGCGTCTGAGTTATAGAGACAAATTGTGAGTTCGCACCGCTTCACTTCCAGGTGCTGGGAAGATTGGATGGGGCGAGAGTCAAGTGCAAGAAGTTGCTGCAGGTATGTTTTGACCAGCAGCCGAACTGTGTGCACACACTTCTTTCCAGCGGGAACTGGACTGGAGGCGCAGTGGTGAGGCTTGACAATGCCTTGGCCCGACCTTCTGCAGCTGATGTGGCGATGAATTTCCACATGCTTCGCCCAATCATTCAGCACTACCCATACCCAGATCGCGTCCCTTTTCATTGTACTTTCTTTCCACTTTTTGGGGACGCAAGTCTCAAGTTTGTATTGATGGCGTGATTCTGGCTTGGGCTAGCCACATCCGGCCACTGAGGTTCCTTCAGGCTATTTCTTGACGGATTGCATCCTCCGGCTGGATGAGCTTTTTGATGAGAAGATGCTGGTTGGCGGCAGCAGCAAATTGCAGCTAGCGGCAGAGGAGGGCGTGAAGCTCAAGAAGCTTTGCGGAGCTGTCAGGTCATTGTGGCGGTCGTCCCCAACAGGGAACCACCCAAAGGTTTCTGAACTCAAAGGTTTGTTGAGGCCTTCTCCAACTCGGCGCCGCCGCCCTGTTACCCGCTTATAAACCAAGATGAGTTTTTGATTGGGTTTCGTGTTTTTTGCTACGTTTCTTTCACAACCGCTTCAGAAAGCGCGATGTTTAGGTTGAATCTTCTGATGAAGAGCAACCTGATCCAGAAGAATCTGGATCTGACATTGGGGAGCCGCATGATGACGATGAGGTGCCAGAAGGTGATGGCGAGCCTGCGGAGGAAGACGTCGTCGCGGCAGAGACATCTTCCGAATCTACCACCTTGAGACTTCCAGGTTACAGCAGTAACTCAGTATGTCTTCAGCACGAAGGGGTTTCTTTTGTCTTTCTTTTGTCAGCCCTACTCCCTATGAGTTTGAAGCATTGTGAGACTAATGTTTTTTGGCAGCTTGCCTTTGCGTCAGTGAGGAAGTGGTGAGAGCAGCGACAGCGATGTTGTGATGGAGGCCAAGGAGGCCGACAGTCAACGCCCAGGTGCTTGGATGTCAGAAGCTTACCTTGAGTTCTCCACTCGAGATCAGGCAGAGAACGCAGTAGTTCCAGCCGAGTTGCTCTACACCTGGTGGCGCGCTGGGCGTCCGAGTGGTGACAAGTTCAAGAACACATTTTCCAAGGACGACCTGAGGTGCCAAGGAGTCTGCTGAAAAGGACGTTTCTAGTTGTTTGTTCGTTGTGAAGAGCTCCGCATACCATGTTTGGAAGAAAGCTCCGCTATACCATGTTCCCTTTTGCTGACCCATGTGTGTTGCGAAGAGGTTCATGCCCTCATCCATGTTTACCTGAGGAACCGTCATTTCTCTGGCTACTTGTCGCATTGCGTCAACAAATACTTTCTGCACGCTACAACAAGCCTGAAACTTCGATGCTGTGCACAGTGAACAACTGGCAGTTATGGCTAGCAGCCGGCTCCGGAACACGCGTAAACGAGTCGAGCGCGAGCGTCGGCGGAGGCTTGTGGCGGAGACATGGGCAGAGATTGCGGCGAGACATGGACAAGCAACGAAGGGGACACAAAAGAAGCGCAAGATGCTCAAGACAAACGCAAAAGAAGACGAGACAGAAACGACCACAGAAGAGACCACGGCCACGCCAGAGAGGCCGACACAGCAGGCGCACACGCCCAGCGACGTCGGAAGACGCCAGGCCGCAGTGGAGACAAGAAGCGGCGTAAGAGACGCAGACCCGAGAAAGTCGCAAAAACGAAAAAGGGAAGACAGTGGACCGGACACGCAAGAAGCAGGTGCGCAAACGATGGACACGACACGAAGATCCGAAGCACAGCCCGCCGCGCAGAAAGAACAGCGCGCAACACAGACGACAAAGCCATACCAATACGTGTGTCCCTTCTGCAACGCAAGCGTCGGCAGCACCGTGCGCACAGGCAAGGTTAATCGCCGTTTTGCTGTGAGGGAAGGAAAGGTGGCTGTGAAAGGTTACGCTTATGTTGCCCATGGTGCAAAGCTACTGTGTCAAGTAGCGTCAAAACTGGACGCGTGGACCATCGAACGGTGTGTGGCAATCAGTTTCGCGTCAAAGATGGGGCGGTCAACAGCGGCTAGGCCCGGGTACAGGCGTGCAGCAGCACAGACCTGTCCTGCTACGCTGACAAAAAGGGCTGGAGAACCTCCAGTCTAGGGAAAGCCCTGCGGGCTGGCGTCGCAGCCAAAATGCCTAACCGCCTGGCACGTTGCCTTCAGGAGCCAAAATGCCTAACGTTGCCTGGCGCGTTGCCTTCAGGAGCCCTTAAAAAAGTGCCTGTCACACGCCAGAGGCTCACTCCCAAGGCTCCCGGCAATCTCGGCCAGCAGGCACCCTGCCCAAAAACGGGTATGCCACAGACGTGCGCCAGGTAGCTGTAGCAGCCCAGGCGATTCTGTGGCCGTGTCCTGGTAGTGGCTGTAGTAGCAGCCCAGGTGATGGCCACAGACCGTCCTGCTACGCTGAAGCAGCGGAGGGCTTGGGGCCCGGCAACGACACAGCCAAAATGCCTAACGTCGCCTGCCACGTCGCCTTCGCGAGCCCATGGGCGAATCTGCTCCGCCACGCTTTTCCACGGCCACCAGACGGCAGCGTGGCCACTCCCAGACAAGGCAGCATGGCCTAGTAGCCCGTATAGCCGCATGGCCACTCCAGACAAGGCCGTAGGCCTGCGGGCTGGTGTCGCAGCGGAGGGTTTGGGGCCTGGCAAACGACACCATCTATTTCCACGCCAAAAAGCCGCGCCGCAGCCGACCAAAATGCCTAACGTCGCTTGGCACGTCGCCTTCGGGAGCCCATAAAACAGTTGCCTGGCACGTGCCAGA